GCCTGTCACACGGCCCCGGGTCTAAGCCTCAGCCTCCAAGATTTCCATAGATGCGCCCCAACTTTCTCAGGCCATGCACTCGTCCCCGGACTTCCCTGTCACCAATATCACTGTGGAACTGCTCCCTAAATCCCTCACAAGTTCCCCTGCTCCGGATTCTTCTTCTTTTTTAAAAGATTCGGAATAAAAGGAAAAAGTCCTGGCTTCCTCTCCCATAAGGAGATGGGGGGTGGAGGGGAAAGGAGGGAGAAGGGCCCCACTCCTCCCAAATTCCTGCCACGCTCACATGGCCACATGCTTGAGCCACACCCTTTCACAACATTCTGGTCCCCTCAGCCCAAGTCTTTTGGACCTTCAGGCTCACACTGTCTCGAGCACACTGGTGCTTTCATCCTTGACCAAAGGCCCGCTTTGGCTTTATTCCACATCATGTCCTCCCAATCTGGAATTTACACCTCTCATACCTTGGTCACAGATTCTCCTTCGAGCCTCTCAACCCCACTTTTCTCATATTCATCCTCGTACTCTTACTTCTTACACACTCGCACGCCTCAGCCTCATGAGCACTACTGCTTCCACTCCTATCCTCACCCTGGGCCTCCCATTCTCACACAGGCTTGTGCGTGCACACAGACACACACATGCACGGACTAACACTGAGAGGCTGTCAAAGCAAGTGCTGGGTAAGCCCCAGTGTGCAGGCATTGGCCTGCATCTAGCCCCATCTTGGGAACACACCCCCAGACTCCAGCAGAAAGGCACCAAGGCAAGGGACGGGCCAAGGTCCACTGGGCTGGCTGGGCCCACTTCCCCCAGGAACTAAAAGTCTGCTGGGATGCCCACCCACTTCAGCTGAACTTCCTCTGCAAAGACTGTGCAATGAGGGACAGGAAGTTGGAGAGGCACGAGAGTCCAGAAGCAAAACCTATATCATAGTTCTCCAACTTAAGATTGTAAAATCTTCCTATAGAAATATAAATTTCTACCCTTTCAGGCAAATCATGGCCAATTGTCATCTTACTGATACTTATATTTGTGATTTAAAACATCAGATCTTGTTGGTATTTTCTTTTTTCCATTAAACAGTGATTTTCCAATCCGTGTGCACAAAAACTTAAAAGGAAAAATATTTTTTCTTTTTGTTTACAAACAGCAACACTTCTGAGGACTAGGATGGGAGAGCAATATGCATAGATAAAACCCTAGTCACCCCCCACAAAAATCACACACTATCTTGTGGTCACTCCATGACATACACATGAGGTGATCACATAGCCTCTCACTGTCACCTACTCAGACCACATCCAGTCACACACAGTGTGTGACCTGCTGAGAAGCTCTTTGTGCCTTTGTTTCCTCTTCTCTTCTCAGAAATAGTGATAATAATCCTTGCCCTTCTCACAGGTTTCTCATGAGATAATGTGCATGTAAGTGATTTATAAAATGTGAAGACCACACATACATTAGGTGGTCTTCCTCCTGTATTATCAGAGACATGAACTGAGACCCAGCATCCCAGACAGACATGGAGGGGCACCTACTGGGAAACCAGGTGCTTTGAACTGGGGACACATAAACTTAGTGTCTCCTGCCTGCTCCGGAGCCAGCTCATCACGGTTACCCCAACACAGGGCCCAAGGCTGGGGCAGTGCCAGGGCTGGGGCATAGGCCCAGGGGAAGGCAGCCGAGGCCATTGTGCTAAGCAGCCTGTGGCATACCACCAGAGCGGCCAAGAGGAGGAAGGAAACTTCTTAGCTCTTGACTCTGATGCTGCTCCTCTAGAAGCCTGCAAAGTGATGCCAGTCAAGTGGCCCAGCCCTGTACATCAGCCTCCCCCAGCCTCCACCCTCAGGCTCTGCCTCTCTTTGTCTCCAGGCCCTCACCCCATCCCACACTGTCTCTCAGGGCTCTTTTGCTCATTGCCCATCCCATTGATTGAAAGTCTCTCTCAGGTTCTCCAAGGAGTCCCAGGAAAAATGATCCACCAGCCTATTGATTCTTCATTAGAATTACATTTTCACGTGTGCTAAATTGGTTTTAAAAGGTTTTTTCTGTTGTTATTGTCTTGTCAGACCCTGTGGTCCAGGGCAAACCAAGTTTAAACCTTGTGGCTTCTTAGGGGAAAAAAAATCACCAGGGCCGAGTCTGTGATTACTCGCTCTTCTGCCTTGTTGTTGTCATGATGACAATTGTGATTTGGCTTAAGTATCTTTAGGAAAAGGGCCCTGCAGGAGGCTGCTCAGGGCAGGCTGGGTTTGGCCGGTGAGGGATTAGAAACCTCTGGAGAAAAGATACCAGAGAAGTTTTTCTTTTCCTGAAAATTAAATTTAGCACTTGAACCTGTATTAATTGCTTCTGGGACAAGAGGAAAGGTGAAAGTTTTAAAAATCATTTTTATTTCCTTATTCCTCTCCCAGATTGACTAGAGGAGAAAAAGAAAACCCAATCCCACTTATTTATCTCCCTTCATTCTCCCCTAAATAGCTGGGGTGGGGGGGGAGGGTGTCAGTCTTTCACACGGTGCTGAGGGAGAGGCCACAGCCTCCTGCTTTGTAGCAGGGCAGAAGCCCAGTCACAAGGACACTAGTAATCATTATATTCTGTGCTGGCCAGAGAGGAATGAATCCAAATGAGGAGAAAGGGAAGAGAGACTCCAATAGAGTAAGGGAGAGGAGAGACCCAGAGACGGAGGGGTTCAGGGCCCAGACTGGCAGAAAGAGAGAGAATGAGAGTCAGGGACAGTCTGATGGACAGAGGCAGAGAAGGAAAGAACAGAAGAGGAGGCCAGGGAAGGAAGGGAGGGAGGGGAAGAAAGGAGGGAGATAGAAAAAAAGAAGGAAAGGGGAAAAAGAGGAGACAGAAAAAATGTACAGAAGGAGGGAAAGAGAAGGAAAAGCAGAGAGAAAGGGAGGAAAGAGATCAAGGTAGGCCGAGGAGCGAGCCGCAGGGAGCTCGCAGCCCCTCCAGCCCCTCCCAGCCCCAGCCTCTGCCCTCCCTCTGGCCTGGCAGCCGCAGGCCGTGCTGGGGAGTGGGCACGGGGCGGCGGCAGAGCCCAGGCAGCAGAGCCAAATGTCTCCGTGATGTGTTTATCCCCTAATCAGTTCATTAGTTATAAACAACATGACATTAGAAGTTAGGAGGCAGTTGATATTAATTTTTATTTAACTAGTTGATGTTTAATCCGTCACGCCAGGCTGGGTAGCAGCGAGAAAGATCTTCCTGACACAAAACCAGTTAGAACTTCACAAGGCGCAATCAGTGTCCGCACGTTGAAACAAACAAGAGAGACAGAGACAGAGAGACAGGGCGAGACAGAGGCAGAGGAAGTTCCGCCAGAGACGGAGACAGCGAGGCGGGCGGGGAGAGACCTAATCTAGGGCGAGGGCCGAGGGGAAATAACCTAGAAAGACTGAGAGCGCGGAGAGGACAGCTCGGCGGGGTGCTGGCAGCCTGAACCCCGGCCCTAAGCCCAGCCCGGCCCCCGACGTACTAGTGAGGGGTGGGCGCCCTGGGATGGCCCGGCTGGGGCTGCCCGGCCCCCGACGTACTAGTGAGGGGTGGGCGCCCTGGGATGGCCTGGCTGGGGCTGCGGCGGGGCGGTCGTCCAGGGCTCGGTCAAGCTTCGCCGCCGCAACCGCTAGCACCTTCCGGCGAGGAATACGTTTGGTGTTCGACCGACTGGTGGGTGGCCAGGGGCTAATGTCCCCGCGAAGCGAGGCCCCGACTTTCGGAAACTCCTTCCTCTCTCAGGTCCGGAGGCCGAGAACCTCCTTCCCTGCTCCAGGAAGACCGGGCCCGGGCAAGAGAAAGAAAGAGGAAAAGGGGAGGAGTTTGTGCCCAGCGGCTCATGCTTAACAAAGTTTGCAGCGGTCACAAGCCGGAGTGGGGCGTGTGTGCATGTGTGGGCTTGGGGGTGCTGGCGGTGGAGAAGAGGGAGGAAGTGAGGGACAGGTTGGGGTTTCTGCAGGCGGGAGAGGGCTTTTCCCTGAGCGGTCCTGCAGGCAGGGCTCCGAGCAAGGACCAGGCTGTGTTGATCGCGGGCTCCTTGGGTGAGCGTACTGGCCGCTAGTCTGAGGTCCCCCGGGCTTGCCCGGGTTAAACTCCACCCCCCCAGCCCCGCCCAAGCACGAGCGCTTGGCTTTTTCCACCTTCACTCTGGGCACCGGCCGGGCACTGGCTTGGTCACGGCTTCATGCTCAGGCACGAGGGCGGGGGCCGGGGCTGTAGTTTTCCGCCATCGCGAAGGACACTGTTTGGAGGGGCAGAGGCATCCTTGCCCGCGCGCAGACTCAAGCCGAGCATCTCACCGTTTGCATGTTAATCTGCCTCCACCGCGAAAAGGAAATCGCTGAAATTCCGAAGAAAATTGCCTCTTGCCAGCGGTTAATAGTTAACTCAGACAGGAAAGTTCCCAGGGAAAGGCGAAAGCCAGGGCGAGAGGCGCAGGGGAGGTGCCCAGGGAGGCTCCCGGGGAGGGCCGCGGCCGGCCCCGGCCTCTCCCCTCGCGGGCCAAGCTCTGTCCCACGCGCCTCCCCCGCTCGGGCTGCGCGTCCCCCACCCGGTAATTAGCATCGTTTAGTTCACAAAACCCTTCCTGGGAGAAATCTGTTCCCTCGTTCCGGGGCTCGGTTCAGCACCTGATTCCACCGGGTGAAGCGAATAAATCACTGCGGCAGCGGGGGAGCCGTACCCGAGCCCGCCAGACTGGGGCCGCCGGGAGAACGAAAAAGTGAGAAATAGGCGGCAGAGCCAGGAAAAATGATGCAGGGAGATGGCGCAGCCCCAGCCCAGGCAGAGTGAGGGGCCGGGGAAGGGAGACCCAAAGAAAGAAATGGACGCACAGGCAGAGACCGGGCCAAAATAGGAGACAGACAGAAAGAAAAGCGAACGAAAAGAAAGGGAAAATGAGGACGGGAAAGAGAAGTTAGAGGAGAAAGAAGAGCAAGGAGGGGGAGTAAGAAGTACGGGGCAAGAGCATAAAGAAAATAAAAGAAAACCAAAACAGCAGACGCTTTTATCTACAAAAACCTCCCCGCAAGGCGCGGCAGTGAGAGCGCGCCCCGCGGCGGCCGCAGACCAGGAGGCCCCGGCGGAGAGCTCAGCCTTCGCACTCGGGGCTCCTAGGCGGTTCCGCGCAGAACTGGACTCCAAGTTGAAGTCCTAGGACGCGGGGCGCACAGGAGCACCTGCCTCAGGAAAGAGTGGTATTTTGAGTGTTGGGTGTCATCCTGAGTCCATGTCGGGGTATGGGGACGGGTAGATAAAGGCGCACGGCTCTTTCGTGGGCGCACATTGGGCACCTGGGACTTTCTGCCCTGGTGCAAAGGGAGAAGGGGACCCGCGGTGTGCGGGCCGCGGCCGCTTACCGCAGACCCGCATTGTCTCCGCAGCTCGGACCCCCACTCTTCAGCAGGCCCTCGGAGAACTTCCCCCTCGAGGATCCGCAGCGCCCAGGCCGGCGCGCCCGGCTACAGCTGCGAGAAAAAGTAACGCAGCGAGAACCACGACCTGGCGCCAGCGGAGGGCGCATTTCCTGAGCCGCCTCCCCGCGACCACCGAGAGGCGCGGCGCAGATCCCACGCGCTCCCGGGGCCTGGTCCGGCACTAGGCTGCCCAGGCCAGAGGGTGGGGAGGAGGAAAGGAAAGAAGAGGAGAAGGAAGCGGGGAGGGGGCGGGGGCAGTGCAGAAGAAAAGCGTGGAGGAACGAAAGGCGAAATACCAGCCCGAGGGAAAGGAGGACCTAAGGATGCGAGGCGGCGTCTCCCCTCTGGTCCGACGAGGCCTCTGCGTGGACAGAGGTGGGAGCACCCCCTCCTCCGGCCTCACCATTGCGAGCCCTTGTGCTTTGGCGCCCCCAGGACGCCGGGCTGGGGACTGAGACCCCAGCAGGGCTGCTGGAGGCCTCTGTGCGCGTGGGACCGAGGATAAGGAGAGGAAGGCTTCCTTGCCCGCCAGGCAACCTTAGGATGACAAACACCCGGAAACTTTCCAAACTTTGGGACTTCCTGGTCCGTGTGGTCCAACCCTCTCCGCTCCTCCTCCCCCTCCTGCCCCTCCTTTGGGCGTTGTCCAGCCTGATCACCACAGAGCTGGTCTGGAAGAAAGAGAGGGGGGAGAAGGGGGGAAGGGGAGGGGGCGATGCGGAAGAGGGGAAAGGGGGAGGGGCGGAGGAGGGGGAGAGAGGGGAGAAGGGGGAGAGAGAGGGGGGGGAGGAGAAGAGAAACTGATGCTTAGACCACAGTTCTCTGATCTGGGGAAAGTAGGGAGGCAGCGACAGCTGGGCCAGCTCGGAGAGGCAGATCATCAGTCAGTCAGCAGGTATACCTGTGTGTGCTTTGTGATGGGCACTGGAGCTGTAGAGGTAAATCAGACGCTTGGCTCTATTTTCCAGGAGGTCATTACCTGGTGGCAAAGAGGCAGCTGTAAACCAAGAAAACTTCAAAGAAGTGTCAAGATATGGACTGGAAGGGTGACTTGGATAGAGGGAAAGGCAAATGGGGATTTCAGAGAACACTTCATAAAAGGGAATGGGGTCTTGCAAGATGATTAGCTGTACACTAAATGCAGGGGTAGGTGGGCATAATATTCTTCGGCAGAAGGGGCATCAGGAGTAAAGGCATGGGGAGGTGGCAACAGCCCACCTAGTTGGGGAACCAAAAAGGATTCTGTAAAGCTAGTATGGGAATTAGGGGTGAGGCAAGAGAAATAAGGCTGTGACGTAGGCAGGACCTATACAAAAGAGCACTGTTGATTTTCTTCTTTAGGCCATGGGATGCCATTGAGAGATTTTAAACAGGGAGTGAAAAGATCTGGTTTGGAGGGAAAAGAGCGTTCTGGAGGTAGGGACAATGGGCTGGAAGTAGAGAGAGTAGCAGAGACTGGGTAAGTGATCTCCACAAGAGAAGATGTGAGGTCTCATAACAAAAAAGGCCAAGGAGGATGGAGAATTGGGGTTAGATTTAATTGAGAGGTGGAAGGAAAATGGTCACAGATTATGTGTGTGGTCCGGTGAGATGCTAATTTAAGGTCCGCCTAGGTTTCTGGGTAACTTTAATCTCAACTCTGATGCCTCCCCTGTACCCTCCACCTGTCTCCCCTGGCAAGCCCTCCCCTGTAGTGGTTATCGAAGTGGAAACCCATGTATCATGTCTGGTGGTAACACTTTTCTCCCCTCCTCATGCATACTTTACCAAGCAGTCTCACAGAACAACACACACTACAGAAAGGACAACTTCTCACTAATCCCAAGACCTCTGAGACAGCGGCACCAAGAGTGGAAAATGGAGCCAGTCGTCCTGAGGTGGACTCCACCTTTCTTAGATCTGGAACTTACCAGCTATGTGACTTTGGGCAAATCCCTTGAATTCACTGTGCCTAAGCATCCACGTCTATAAAATGGGGATGAGAATTTCTACCTTGTAGAACTGTTGGGTGTGTTAAATAAGTTAATATATCCCTGGCACATAGATGTTTGACCATGTTAGTTTATTCACCCCCCCCCCCCCC